GCTTCTTCCCGACTGAAATAATACCTTCTCGCGATATCGAACGATACCAAAATGCGCGCGTTTTCAGGACAAACGTAAAGCAACTTCCAGCGGCCAAAAGGGAAAGAATTGAATTATCCGAACTTATGCATGTGGCACCACGTTTACACGATATATGAAAGTCGCGTGTGCGAGGCTCATATCCGAGCGAGGCGAACAATCGCGCTAAATCTCCGTGAAAAATCCAACGGATATATATTCACGAACTTGCGTCTTTTCTCGCATCTTTCTCCGGCAAAAGGCGTTTAATTTTCATAAAGAACCTCAATTTATGAGGTATCCTAAATTCTGGTACATGTTCTCAAACTTACAAACGATGCTTTATCTTTTAATTTTGCTCGCATAAGCAAAAGTTATACCCTACTTTTACGCCAATGATAAATATACTATCCGCAAACTTTAAGTATAATCGTTTTAATGCAGAGTACTGCAGTTAATTATTGCAAAAATTAACTTTTCGGATTATAATTAAAATCACAAAGACAAATAAAAATTATGTACTCGAAAACAATAGTGAAAGTAGATATTAAATTATAAATATTACTCTGATTTTAAGTAAATATATAGTATTATAATAAATGTTGTAAATTCCTCGTTTATAAGTGGAATAATAGTATTACAAGATCAACTGCGACATAATGTCGAGGAATTTCTGCTTTAATCGGACGAAATAGGTACATTTTCCAAATAATCCATCAGCTAATGCGTTTAAATCTAATTTTTGTTTCGTCAAAGTCCAGTATCGTGGTCGCCTTAAAGCCAGATATGAATATTGAAATTCTCATTATTCGCATAGCCGCGAGCGACCAGTGTAACTGATCCACACTTTGGCCGACATAATTTAAAGTTTCTAAATTAGCGAGTTAAATTATGGATACGTGCTCGGTCACTAGGCATCCCGGGCTAGCCAGTTTAACAGATAGATTGCAAAAGTCATATCCCATAGGACTCGTAGATATCATCTTTATTTTATCTTTAAACTAGGTCGTTACAAAGCTGTAACAATTTAATTTTTTCAAACATATATCTTTTGCTCATTTATATACTCTCTATAAGAGAAACTTTAATAGAATTTTCACGGTCTTACATTGAAGAATTCATTACAGAGAGAAAAGTACTTGATATTTGTGATTATAATTGCATGCTTAAAAAATTATAGTTAGGGTCCATTTTTATGGTTATTATTGCTATAATATTATACATTAATTATATATATATATATATATATATATATATATGTATATATATATCACAAATATGGAGAAATTGTATTATAAGTTATGATAATCTGAATTATTAATATAATAAAATATTAAGAATGGTAAATAGAACTTATAACATTTTTCTGTAATAAATGCAATCGTCATTATAGTGAATATAACTATTTTCTTAAGATTCATTAACTATTTATATTAAGAATAATTAAGAGATATGGTAAGGAAAAACTTAATACATGTTATAGTTGTAATGATCACATTTTAATTTGAAGCAATTATAATATGTATGATTAAAATAATTATAAATTTATAGTTGACCCAAAAAACTATAAATTATAGTTAAATTATAATACCTGCAATCATTTTTTTCTTTCAGTGATGAAAGAAAGCTGTATCTTTACAGCCCTTATCTTTAGAAGAAGAAGATTCTTACATAACAAATTTTGACAAACTTGGAATCAATTTTTTCTTTACATTAATTAAATTTCGCATTATTATAGATTTCGAATTAGTATAATATAATGTTTCCTGTACTGACATTTTGATTGAGTTAAAAGCAAAATTTTTAGCAATTTCGTTACATCGAGAAATCTGATGCTATTTTCTACCACAATATGGAAACACAAACTTCAAAAGTCATTTTGTCAGAAAAATATTGATAGAATATGATGGATAATGATAAATACGAAATACAAAAATCATTAGCTCGTATTCTCTGATCGCAGCTGTCAAATTTATTGTAACTCAGATTGCAATATCAATATTGCAATATCAATATGCAACGTTTCTATGCATTCAATTGAGAAATAAGTTGTTCCTAACTTTCGATTATTTAGAAATTCCAGAGAGTTGTTCGGCTTCTGATAAGGTCGTTAGACGTTGGTAACAAATGAGACTAAATGTAGGTCAGAACACCAGGCTAAGTTCTTCATTTTTCAGTGCAGTTGGGAGGCGCTTAACGTCATGAATCTCTCTGGTGTCGGACAAACAGGGACAGACGCGATTCTCCGCAATTAAACAAGCCGAAATGAATATGAAAAAGGTGCTAACTGGAGCAAAGAAAAGTTTTCACGAAATGACCACGTTGGCATGCCAGCCTCGATTCCAGAAATTATCCTACTCTTCATAGACACACGAAATTAACTTCTAGTTGAATAAACTATCTTGATCCTCTTTCATAATTAACAATTCCACGAAAGATTGGATCACAGCATTAATTATAATTTTAAGACGAACTCGACGTAATTCTTATTAATATTTCAAACAATATTCAAGAAAAGATTAAATGGATTTTTTTAGTGCATGTTTTCGAAAAATATTTTGCGCAGCTTCGAAAAAAATAACGATTTATGATTAAAAGATTAAAACGATAATTTATAATTACCGTTTTGTATAAAACAATTTATCGTATTTTTTGTCATTCATAATACATATCATTTATTCAAATTATTTATAAAATAAATAACGATATATTTAATACAAGAAAACATGCGAATACAACTTTTTAATAACTGCCAAATTTTATCAACATAATTTTCTTAATCGATCTTCTTTTCAAAGTACCGCGCAAAAACTAATTTCGCAATGAATATTTTTCGAAGGAAAATTGATTTTTCGGAATATATTTTCCCAACATTCATCGCTGGAAAGCATTACTTTCCTAGTAAACATAAACTTCATCTCGTACTAGTTAACATATGTGCAATGAAAATCATGGTGGTTGATCCTCTGGTGTGTTGCTTTAAGGAAAATAACGTATTCCCTACTCTGCTACAGGAGAAAATACGCACGCTTAGATGCACGCATAAATAAGCGAAAACTAGGTCGTACACTGAGAAAAATTTTTGGCTGAAAATGAACGAATCAGAAGATTCTAATCACATGAATTAGAATTCCACTTTTCTCAACTAGAATATAATAGATTCAATCAGAAAATCTTAATTCGTCCATTTTCAATCAGAATTCCACTTAATGCAATCAGTCTTTTTCTAGTACATCATTTCCTAATATTTTAATAACTGGTGCAAAAGAAAATCTATCTGTATTAATTATATTAATATGTTCCGATATATTCTATTTTTCATTTTTATATATTATTTATATACTTTATATATTTAATTTAGAAACAATTTATGATTAACTGATACACACATAAATAAACAATATCATGAAACTAGGTCGTATTGTTTAGTAATATTTTTAATAATGTAAAAAAAGATCTATTAATGTTAATATCAACGTTCTAATATGTTCTAATGTTAATTTAATCTTCTTAATTTTAAAAATATAAGCATGTCCGAATAATGGTCCTAAAAACGCTACGTAATTCGCTGTTAACATGAACTCAAACATATATCGATCAAAATTTACAAAACAAGCATTCATGCAACAGAATATAAAATTTTGTTAAGAATCATAATTGCTTATTTTATACGTTATTCATTCAAAATATTAATTTCCCCCTAAAAATATTTCATTTTCACAAAATTATTGAAGCACGAAACCCTATCAATGTCGAACACTGTTTCAAAATGACAGTCAATACCACCCCTCCCCCTACAGAGTGCTGTAATTGGTTTGTCGCAGCTTAACTAACTACCGGATAAAGTCACCAGTAACTCTAGCATTTAAGCGAGCTTACCGCTACGAGGCGAAGCGAGATGTTTACTGCTAATTGCGTGGCTTCGGACTTTCGATTTACCTGGATTTATGCCGTGAACGTGGAGAAGGAAGGGCGTTAAAAAATTTCTTCCCAATTGGTTTGCACACGTTCATTTTTTAGAAGGGGAAATTGTTCAAAAAACGAGAATGACGTTTTTTTCAATCTGCCAATGGAGATCTTTGGTAAATATACAATCGTTTTCCCTTTAAAAAAAATCTTGCTTCTGCGTTTTCTTGAATCTGCTTAATTTCCAACATTGTACATCTCACATTACAAATCTTTACATTAAAATTCTAATAAAATAAAATCAATTTTCAATTAAATATATTAATATTTTAGATTTCGGCTCATATACGTCGCTTTTAAAATAGCTCACGAAAATTTGAAGATGCCGGCGAATATTTTCTGCAAATTAACTAAAATTCTTTACTCTGTTACGAGCCTTAATTCTCTTAGTTTAAATAAGGAGAGAAATACTAGCAGTAACAGATGAGGGAACAACGAATAGAATATACGATAACGCTGTAATATAAATAGTTGGCATCGTGCCAGATGAGTTAATTGCTAGATCAGCAGTACTTCCGTTTGTTCACCGCGAACTCTTGGCCGGCTAGCTAAATTTTTCTTGGCAGAAAACACGCGTTTAAATTCGCAGGGTATTTCTGTTTAATGTACCTGGTGCGCGCGCGTTCAGATCTCATTTGCGCGATTAAATCTCGCGCACGGCATGCCATGGGAAACGCGAAAAGTTCTTTTTTAAGAAGGACAACGTACGCGAGGTACACGAGAAATCAGCAACGAAAGAAACGGAAAACAATTCACCGCGACTGCATTCGTCGACACGTCGCACGAATCACGTGAGTTTTCTTTTTTTTTTTCTTCACGTCAGGAAGATCGAATTCCATCGAACGTCGAAAGGTTTCAGAGAATTACGTAAATTCGCGTGATGAAAAGCAGGTCAACGCGATTTTAGAAATCGGGATTAAATTTCTCGCTGTACAGAATAGTTATACAGTAACGACGAATATCTAAAAGCTTGAATAATAACGCGTGATATATAAGTCGCAGTTTACGATAACATCTTGTTGCGCAAGTAATATTCGTGTTTATTTCATTCGTGACTTATATCTTGGGACTTTTACAGTTATATTTTTATATGTCTGCCAGGCTTGCTTTCACTTTTTATCGGCATACATTCTCTTTATGACGTATCGACCACAGACATCGCCGTCTCCCTCGACTCATCGTGACTCTCGCGATCCTGAGAGGACTCATCCGAGGGTCGACGGCGAAGCAATTGAGGATCCACGACAAGTCTGACATTGACGGTGCTCTTCCACCACCTGTACCACGGCGACACCTGGTCCTGAAGAAGGAGAGACAAATGTGAGCGAGTGAAAAGAATCGCCGGGGTCACGGCTGCTCCTTTTCCCCGCTGATTTAAATTATCCCGGCAGTTTCAGTTGTCAGGGGCAAAGGGCAGTCCACTCGATAAATCAGGCTCGAGTGACGCGCCTCGAGTGCCCTCCGATGTGAAAAAGAGGCAGGGCAAAAGAGAGTGAGGTACAATCGAAATGGGAGAGACGCGATTCGGAAAGTGGCGCGTATTCACGATTATTCTTAATTAAACACGACGTCCGACGATTTCGATTCAACTGCAGCGATTTACAGCGCGACGCGACCGACGGTTTTATTTAAAACCTCACCATCCTCTATCCTTCGTACGGCGAGTGCACTCAAAGTACGCTTCGAAGTGGTTACTGGGATCTTTTGTGGGGATTAACGAGAGCATTCGGTGACGCACGATTCGTTAGACCGCTTTCGGATAACCGAGCGAAATATCGCGCACCAAACAAATCATTTCGTTCGCCCATCCTCATTTAGTACAGTCTCTGGTTTCAATAATACAGCAGAGACGTTAAGCGGCATGAATAATTCTTCCCTGGATCGAAAGCGCACTTTGTTCCAAGCGGAATAATGTATTATAGATTCTAGTGGCTGATAAATCTTTCGATTTATCGACGACATTGATCTGTACCGTACCAGGAATATACGTATACTACGTGACTAGATTACCGCATATATTCTTTGCTATACTGGCGTAAGATATAGTGATATATGTATAAATATGTTTCCATGAATAAACCATAAATAATAAATTATGTAACAGTAATAGAATTTTTAATTAAAATCACTCCTTTGCGATGCTATAGAAAATCGTTATTAAATTAAATTTGATTTAAGTTAAAAGTCTTTTCGGTGAATTGATTAAACTAAAAACGAGGCCAAAAATGTGCATTAATATTATATTAATAAATAAGTTAATAAGCAACTGTTTCTTAATTTTTGTTTTAATTTTTTTTTTCTACAAGAATCATTGATTTAAATGTTTAATTTAAATTTTTTTAATATAATTGTTAAATTTTTAATTTTTATGTTAATTAATTGGAATTTTCACTAGATATACCAGAATATTGATATGATAATCTCATTCAATTTCCCATATTTGCATACGAAAACTTAACGATCTCCATATTCATGTTTGAGATGATGCCAATAATAATTAATTTAGTAACAGCTTTGGGGCAACGTAATCAAACGCAACATTTGCTGATAAGCTTTATGGTAATTAACTATATACGGAAAATTAACGAGCATTAGCAATTATTTTAGAACGTATAAACAATCACCGTAAATACTCGTCATAACAGTCATTAATGGAATTCTATAATAGTTTCACACCGACACTATAAAGATTATAATCTTTATCAAGAAAGGATAATTTAAACAAAAATTAAATCATATGATAAACCAATAACAAAAATAAATACTTATAGATAAAAAAAAATCTACAAGTCAAATCATAATTTTTCAATTATCCAAAGAAACACATTAACAAAAATTTATAAATTGCGCCTTTAAAATATTATAAATTAAATATTATAAATTAAGAATTGTAAAGACGAAAACGCGCGATATGATTTTTTTCTGAGGGACGCGTAGTATTTTTAGATTAAGAGACCTACTCTATTAGCCGTGTTTCCGCTCAGTGCGCCCACCATACTCGTATATTCTTTTCATATCAGAGCATCATGTGTCTTTCGCGCCCTTCCGGCACAAAATGCGTTCTGACACGTTTGTTCCGGGTCGCTCCCTCATATTATATCCGCGCATTCGAGCATCGGGATACCGCTCACCTGGTTCACCCTTACCCAGGCCGCGCCTTAATGCGTTCGCCTGGGGCAAACGTCGCTATCTGGCCCGACGAGATCGCGGTACATAAACGTAAACCGCGGCACGACAAAGTCGCGCTGGATGCGACATAAAGTCGATGACCCAGAGGATGCATACTGATGCAAGTTATCCCGTACGTTACTAGTCAAAATACCACGATTCTATGTTCCCTACGTTACATATATATCTCAGCCAGACGTATATTCTTTGAAAGATATTTTGCAGTAAATAACTCACATCTTATACGCTAGGCATTCCTAGCTTACCGTGTAACCTTTCAGCCGAACGTAATACGCTTTAAACTAAGAAAAATGGCTATTGTTTCGAACTCGAAGCGTCAATAGGTATTAAGTTATGGATATTATGATATATATTGATCTATGTGTCCAAAGTATGAAAACTTACACGTCTCGTGATTTCTAAAAAGAATGTTTGGTAAAAGCGTTGTTCACTTTGGAATTAACAAAGGCTTTGATAAAATAATATATCTCGATATAATGAAAAAAAAATTATACTGCTGTTATTTTAAAATACTTTGACTTTAAGCTATATTTGTTATATTAATATTGCAAAATAAAAATTTACTAAATAATAAAACATGACAAATATTTCAAACAAATATAAATATTGAATAAACATAATTTTATTTTTATGCGTTTATCATGTTAAAAAAGTTGTGTATGTTGTAATCGATTATATTAAAATGAATAAATTGATTTAATTCGTATTAATTGTGAATGACACAGTTTATATTCATTGAAATAAACATAGGCAATGCTTTAGCGTGTTTATTTTTTTACTAAAACTAAACTTCATTTTCTGATACCTAATTGTAAAGACACATTCGGTTCCCTGAAGAAATGTACGATGCGTTAAATACATTTCGATTCAAATATTAATTTCATTTCGCGAATATACAATATCCTACAATAACGGTAATATTGATTCGATTTACTATGTTTCATGTATGCCCATCGTTGTGTATTACGTAAACCGATAATTCCGTACATTTAGCTTTTGATGAACTAATCCATGTAAATTTAATAAGATATTCATGCGAATATAATTGAAACATTTCCAATGCATTCAGCTAAAAAATATCAATATGGAACGTAATACTATATTCATATCTTCATAATATTGCATAATTAATTAATTAAATACTTAATGAATTATTTGGGTATTATGTAAGTTATTTAATGCATCTTTTAAGCCAATTAATGCATTCAGTTTGATTGCACATACTGCGTCCCATTTCTATTGAATATTAAACAATGGAAGAGATAGGTATAAAATGAAAGCATTTGTCCCGATTGTAGTTTAATTCAAAGAAATCAATAACGCGCGCGCGCGCACGTTAAGCCCTGTTTTCTATCGCGATAATTCTCATTAAATGCAATCTTCTTAGTGTTAAACAATATTGAATTGATAGCTTAAAAGAATAAATCAGGAGCATAATTACCCTGCAGAGCAGGTAAACTGTGGTGACATAGCCTAATATCACGACGGTCAAAAAGAACCATATCGCCCCTCGCGTCCAGGGTTTGGAAATTCCAATCTTGTTTCCCTCAATGATAAAGTATCGCATACCTACAAAGTTACAACAAATAGCAAGTATAATAATTCAGTTTGATACAACGATAGTTTTACAAAAGTATACGCTTATCAGAACTGAGACTTTGTCAACATGATTTGAATTCTTTTTCGCATATCACATTATTTTGTAACAACGTGATTTTCCTTATAACTATTCTTCTAAAAGAAGCTTGAAATGCAGGAAATATATATCAAATATACAAATACTTATATTATACAATTTTTATATAATTTCGAGTAATGACTAAATATTAAAATATACTGTAAGTAATATTCGAAAGCACGGAAATATTTTCAGCAAGCTTGATATTTTAATATTAATTTTATTTATTATTAAATGATATAAATATATAAATACAAAATATTATTTATAACATTAAATAATATAAATATTTAGCGTTATATCAAATAATAATCAACTTTTTTGAATACGTTTTGTAAAAAAAAAAAGGATTTAGTAAATTAACGAAAAAATAATCATATTTTATAAAATTTGTCAAACTTTCAATTTATCAAATTACTCACCCAAAAAGCACACCGCGGCTAATCCCACCGTAACAATGGTGAGTAATGTTAAGATGAGCAGGTCTGATTCTATGTTTCTACGATTTCGCGGATGGCTAATCCATATTCTCAGAGACTCGGGCCTGCAGGTATCCATAAAAATGATAACTACGCGCGGCCGAGTACGGCTATTAAGATAAAAGCTCAAAAAATTCATCCTCAGAGGATCATGCGCTCATACACAGAACAAAATGCTTATCGATAAACACAATGCGATGTTAGAATTGTAAAATATAATTTGATTTAACATTTAAATAAATATAAAAAACACACTGCTTCAAATTACAAAAATACGGATAAAAATAAACATAGCAATAAAGTATATTATATACACACGAGTAAAACTAATATTATTTGAAGTAATATAAATTTTCTTATGAAAAAAAAACAAATTAATTTATTATTCCGCAATTCCAACAACCGAATTGCAAATTTAAAATGACGCAGCACACTTTATTTTGACGCATAAATCAGAATGTAGAACGTCGCAGTTTATCGTCGATTTCTAGAGCAGTTTACTCGATACATCATTTTTGATGTTCGAGTAAACTCCAAACTGCAACCTGATCGACTCATAGTGAGAAAACAAATTGCATAGAAGAAAAAAGAAAGAAATATGACCGAGATCAATTCATTGCGAAAAAAGAGAATAATGGGCACGGTAACGGAAAACGAAATAAGGAAACATGCCGGTGTGTGAGAGATCGAAGTGCATTTCGGATGTTTGAATTACATCCAGCTTGAAAGTGTACCCTCTCCGTGCTAATCCGGTAAATGTAATGCTCACCATCGATAACGAGGCGTCTCCACGGCATTGAAGTAGTACCGGCACAATTCGCAGTACGTTCGGCACGACTGATTCAGCCATCGTTCCAGGCAGGACAAGTGCACGTAAGCCAGCGTGCCTTTGCACCTGGAAAAGATACGCTGTATATCCTATTGCAATATTGTAATGTATGGTAATGTACTACTCTAACACGAGAACATAATACGTAATTTTATTAAAGAATAATGGTAAAGAAATAATTATGTAACGACAATTACGTACTTCTTCGTAAAAAACGGAATTTTACACTGAAAAAATTTACTAAATCTTAATATATATTTCTTTGAATAGTATTAAACATTTATTTACGGTAAATAAATAAATAAATTTATTTAATCAATAAAAAATGATAATTAAATTAAATTAAATTAATGATTTTAAAATAAAAATTTAGTATTTATTTAGTTTTTTTTTTAGTGTATTTATGTGTGAAATGAATTTAATCTAGACAGCAATCTGAGATGGAATTGTAAAGGATAGAAACTAAGTGACTTCGTTGATGCTTTCGCTGAACAGTTTGAGCACTCGAATATATTCTCTCGGCTCTTTCCAAGCGCAAACGTAAAAGATATATAACTCAAAACCGACGCTAGACGCTTAACCTTAAAATCTATATTTAGAAAAAAAAATCACTAGTCTCTAGTTGTTACAGAATCTACATTTAAATTTCAATATAATCTTTATAAAATAGTTCAAATATATCAAATATATCAATATATAAAATTAATAATTTCTATAAACATTCTTTTCTAATAAAGATGCAATTGTTTAGCAATTCATTAATATGTTGTATCTCATATATTGCATCCGTGTTGTAATGTTCTTTCGTACGAATGTATTTGTAAATGTAAAATTATACAAGCACATTATAAATTACATTCCGTAAATATCCGGAAGTGTTAAATCTATTCATTCGTGTTCGCTTGTGAACGAACACGAATCATCGAAATTCATTCCATCGAGAATGCAAGAAAAATAAGTTAGATCCGATTCTCCTCATTAATCTCTGCCGTTCCGGATCGAACGCCTATGACTTCAAAGTAACATTTGGATTAGAAAGAATATCCGTAAGTTCGAGAATTATGAAGGTAAATACTCGCGCGCGGGAAATTTGCAGCGAGTCGCTCTCATTTCGCACGTTTCTACTGCGTTTTCACGTAGTTCTTCAAGCACGAGTTGTGTGTCCTTAATCGCCAGAACACGTTCCTCGAACTATTCACTCATTTATGCCTTTCTACCGTCTACGGCACTGGGCCATAAATGAGAAAGGGAAAGGGCAAAAGAGAAGCAAAAGAGAAGTTCCTCTCTTATAAAATCTCATCCCTCGTCCCTTCTTAGCACGATTCCCCATCTCGCAGCCAACGCGTGAATTATGCGACTACGTGAGGTCGATTTCGGTGCCAAGCCGGAATATACTTCATTCGACGATAGAGTCACGACATTTCGCTTTGTCAGCCGTGTTAAACGACCGCTGTTCGCCGAGTAATCTCGTTATTATAAACAGCACCGGCAACTATCATGACATTGCTCTTCGCTTCCTACGCATCCTATGTCTACGATGTATGCACTGTATGCAGCAGCGTGCAAATTAGTCCGAACAAGATACGGAAGTCAGTAAACCTGAACTGTACTACTATTGCACGATATAGTGATTTCAAAGACAAGTTTATGCGTTAAAGTCTCGTTAAGGTGATATTAGACTCGCATGTACGAGATCTCCCTGTTAAATAAAGGAAATGACTATACGCGACTGAATATTTAACGTATGATAGTCTCTAATTATTTCATTTGTCTGATATGGTTATCACAAATTCATCCTACAATTTTATAATGTTTCCCTGATTTCCGGACAAAATTTCATCATTTTCTCTGATACTTTCAATAATATTTATTTAAAAAAATAAAATCTGACCGAATTAATGTGACAACATAAATATAGTAAAGAGCGTCTAGTATCGATCAAAGTTAGATGTTTCGAAAAATATAATATTCTTGATTTATGAATTTAATTTATCTCAAATGCATCGAAACGTTCGGAAAACACAAATAATCAGAGATACTAATAATCAATATTAATAAGCGATACTAATAAGAATATTATATTATTCGAAACACATCTAACTTTGACTCTCTATTATATTTATTTTTAATATTTTGTATTTTTCGTGTTGATTTGAAAACCGTTAAATATTTTGATAATTAAAAACATTAAATTTTTTATCACTTGTTGACACTCAGATTCAAATTTGCATCACCACTTTTTTATGGCTGCAGAAATAGTCCTAAAACTAATTCTATGGTGCTGTCACCTGGCTTTAAAAAAAGTTAAGAATCACCACTGTATTTTCCATGCATAAAAGTCTTTAATATCCTTCGACACTTCACATAAAGTGAATAGACCATAAAGAAACAAAATTACTCCGCTGTCAGCACCGGACAAAAGAACGTTCTTTTATTATATGACCAAACACCAAACATTAATTTTAATATATGTAAAATGAATTTTTTAATTACATATTTAGTACACTAGTTACAGCTCATTTCTAGCAACTCTAATTTTCATCTTTGTGTTGATGTCAAATATTTAGTTCAGAGAGTAATTTAACACAGCAATGTTATAAATTATTACAAATGTTGTTGACACTGCTTGCACTTAATTGTTAAGTTAATTGGTAATATTCCAAAACTACGTAGGTATGAAATACCTACATATGGCATATCAAACCTTTTTAAATCAAAGAATTTCAATTTTCCAGAAAATTTTATAAATTCCCTGATTTTTTCATTATTTCATTAACCATTTTCAATTTTCCTTATATTTTTCTTATTTCCTGATTTCTAATTTTGTGACAATTCTGATTAGCTTCAATTTCAGATAAACAAAAATATTAAATGTCTGTAATAAATCTTATTGATGAATATCAAACTAATTCATATATTGTTAAAAGATTAAAGCATCTTGTATAAGTTTAAAGTAACAAAAAATTTCTCAACGGACAGAAATGTGCGATGTGGTAACAAAAAGCGATGCAGCGCACAACAGTGAATGAAACAATTCTCTTTTACACGATTTTGCCCTGTGGCTCATCGATGTCATAAACTTTTCTCTTTGGCAGCATGATGTACATGGACGATGATTAGCCCACGTATATCCGGTGAAACAGTTATCGTCCAATGAAATTTATGCAGCTCTTCTTTCGCAGTGCGATTCGCCGCGGAGTATAGCTGCTGCGTTATGACATCAGTTTTGCGATTGTTCCGGCGAACAATGCACGGTATGCAGCAGAATTCGAAATACTCCGGCAGCGTCGAGTGCGATATAAGGAGCGATATTAAACGAGAAATAATTCGCGAGCGACCGCTAGAAAAGTTGCTAGCATCGCTCCGAAAAATTTCAACCAACTTCCGATAACGAAACATTTTAAACAATCTACCTATTCGCCGCGAACCTACTGGCGCTTTTTAACATGTATTGTAATATTGTAACGTAGCTTCATCTTTTAGTTAATAATTATGGATAGAAAGTTTTTCATATAGCAGTCCCAAAAAACAGATATTCGTCATTTAGTCTTAAATTATTTGTCATTTAGGTTTAAATTAATCACCGCTACCATTCGATTGGTCATTGTTTACACATGTATGCATATTTCGAATTTTCATTTGCACATTTCTGGTAAAAAAGTTATTAAAAAAGTTATTGAAAAACAATTTTAGGAGATGCTAATTTCATGCTAAGCCCCAACCATAAGCAAATTAGATTTAACTAGTTTTAATCGATAAATTTTTGTTTGTACATTTCAAAACAAATTGTTTGTTTGCATATTTAATTTAACAGTTATAGACAAATAAATGTTGGGAGGCTAATTTCACGTTGCAAAAAGTATGTTCTCAGCTCGAATTCTAAAGAAACGGGATTGAAATAACTCTAATTAATAGATTTTCGTTTACACATCCGAAACAAATCTATTTTTCATTTGCATATTTTTAGTTAAAAAGAGATTAACAGTTAAAGTTTCGTGGACGGTCGACTCAGATAGATAGGTTCAATCAAATCGTAGATATACTTAATATCATTTGAATCTATCTACCTGAGTCGTCCTCGGAACTTTAATTGTTAATAACTTTTTAACTAAATTGTGTGCAAACGAAAATCTATCAATTGGTGTTATTTCAAACTTATTCTTTTTTATGAGACGATCATGTATCTTTTGCAGCGTAAAGTTAACTCTCCAAAATTTATTTGTTAATAACTTTTTAACTGAAAGTGTGCAAATTAAAAATCGACTTGTTTCGGAATATGCAAATGGAAACCTGTGAATTGAGACTAATTAAGAATATTTTATATATTTTCAAAATAATAAAATTATGAAAAAATTACAGATTATTCTAAATCACGTTTAAAAATAATATGACAAATTTAATAATGGTTTACTGGATCATAAGCTGTTTTAATAAACAGTAATATTTTTTCAATCTGTTTTAATAAAAATATTTGAAATTATATTATATGTAAATGTATTATATAAAATAAATGATAAAAATCTCAATTTTTTAATATAAGTACATTATATATTCAAAATTATTTACGTAGAGTTACATTGCGATGCATGAACTAGTTATCCAGTAAATAAACAAAAAATATTTATTTGTTCTATATCTTTGTAACTAATCAATGAATCGCAATGAAACTTTACAGGAGTTATTTTGAATATTTAAAGTATTTACAAAAGAAAAATGTAAATTTTATCATTTTTTAAATTTTCATTTTTGACAATAAAAATAATAACAAATAAAAATAAATAAACTACAAAAATATTAAATAAAAATATAAGCTTATTCTCACAACTTTCATTTGTATGTAGTTCATTTGAAGTATAAATATTAAATATACTTAAAATTTAATTTTCTTTGCAGAGATTGTACATCTAATACATCCTTAAATCTAGTTTGTTTGTAGTTAAAGGGTTAATGTGAAGTTAAGCTTCTTAAAATTGTTTTTTTTAATACATTTTTACCAGAAATGTACAAACAATGAATAATCGATTGAGCTATAAAAAATTAATTTTTTCAATAGTAAGAGAATCAAT